TACCAAGAATACTCCGTGGGTAAAAGACAGTCTTCAATGCCCGGAACAAAAAAAAAAAAAAAAAAATTAGAAGAATCAGTTGGAGGGCCAGAGGGACCCAGACCAAGATCTTACATTCAACTATAAAGAAACATGACAGTTTTACTGGGTGTAGTAGCACATGCTTGCAACCCCAACACTCAGGAGGCTAAGATAGGAGGATCATGAGTTCAAAGCCAGCCTGGGCTACATAGTAAGACCTTGTCTCAAAAAAAATTTTTTTTTGAAGAAAATATAGGCATAAATCTTTATGATCAGCATCAAAATTAAAAACTTGTACTCTACAGGACACTATCAAGTTTTGCAAGCCATCTATCTGAAAAAGGACTTACATTAAGAATATATAAAGAACTCACAACTCAGTAATAAATCTTTTTCTTTTTTCCAGTACTGGGAATCAAACTCAGGACCTTGTGCTTGCCAGGCAGGTGTGGTACTGCTGAGCTACATCCCTGGCCCCTAACAAATCATTTTTAAATGAGCAAAAGATTTGGATAGATATTTCTTGAAAGATAAATGGCCAAAAAGCACATGAAAAGATGAACACCTTTTCCAAGGGAAATGAAAACCAAATCCAAAATGAGGGATGATGTCCAATACCTGTAGTCTCCAGTTTTCAGGAGGCTGAGGCAGGAGGATTGCTTCAGTGCACAAGTTTGAGACAGCCAGAGCATGTCCAAATAAAATCAGTCACTCACTCACTAAAACTTGGGCTGGGGGTGCCGCTCAGCGGTAAAGTACTTGCCTAGCACACATAAAGCCCTGGACTTAATTCCCAGCCTAGGTGTACACACATGTACACACACACACACACACACAAACACACACACACGCACAATGAGATACACTTTATAGCCACTAGATTGTCTATAATTTAGACAGACGGTAACATGCAGAAAAGGTGGTACCCACACACTGCCAGGGTAGAGGTGCTATAGGCCACACAGCCCTGTTGTTACTCAGTCTGTCTCCTCCACATCTACACTAGTCCTGCCATCTTCCAGAACTGCAGCAGAATGGGGGGTGGAGGAGATTCCTCATGTGAAGGAGACGGGTATCTGGACAACCCCAGCTGCCTTCCAATATAAGACCAATGTCTAAGCCAGATGTGTTAGCCTTGGTGTCTTCAAGAATTTCTTGTGTAGCAAGCCATAGCGCACACCTGTAATCCCAGCACTCAGTAGTCTGGGGCAGGAGGTTCACTGATTTCGAGGGAAGCCTGAGCTACACAGTGAGTTCAAGACTGGCCTCAACTACACAGTGAGACCCTGTCTAAAAATAATAATAATAATAATAATAATAATAATAATTTCTTGTGAGTCTTAAATTCCTGTTTTAATCCATTTTTTGGTCCGCACTGTGGATGCTGAGAATACCACACTCAGCCATCACTAAAGCAGTGTGCCTACTGGTCAGCCCAGAGAGTTGGCTCCTACTGTAGAAGCTAGCCTTGAAAGGACAGGACTTTCCAGAACCTTAAGTATGGGCGGGAATTGAGCAGTATCCAGAAACACGTGTGAGATGCAGGTTCTGTAGACTGAACTGACCAAAAAACTGTGTTGCCTCAATGGCATTTTCAGGTGCAGGCCAGGTCCTGAAGGAATGGTTCTAGCTTTTGCCAGAATAGGGAGGTCCTACCCCAGTGCAGGTCCACCCTACCTTTCCAAGGGTGGACCATGTGGGCAGAACACAGTCTGCCACCCTCTGTTCCCAGGCACAGGACCAAATACTTTTCTGTAAAGCCACCCTTGTTTTCCACACCCACAGTGTACTGACTGATGATATCCAGATCTTAAATATCATCTGCTGTTCAGTCTAGCCTAGCAGCATAGAAGGCCTTGGGGCCTGCTAAGTGCAGGTTCCATCCCGGAGTAGAAACCTCTGCTTTGCACCCAATGACAGAGCCCAAGCCTTGCTCTTCCTCACCCCTTCACACAACTCTGCCAGTGAGTGTACACTTCACCTTCACTCAGCCCAGCACACACTGAGCAGGGCATGCTCTGCCTTACTGACACACAGAGACTCTTGCATCTCCAGGGAGCTGCCAGCTGGGGGTGTTCCCAGGAGTGAGGATGGAAATGACATTTTGAAATGCCTGAGGTGGGTTTTAGGGTACATATGGGACCATAAAACTAAGCAAAACTGCCACATTGCCCCATTCCTCAATCCCAGGCCACATAGAATGACTCAGCTCTGAGAGAAGAACACAGTCTTCTAATGTGGAATTGATGAGAAACTGAACCTAAGACCCCATCTCCCTCTCCCAGTGAGAGGAGAAAGGACCAGCCCACATCAGGCTGCCAGTGAACAGGAATGGACAGTGTGGAGCTCTGGAGCTAGACCAAACCTGGCTTCAAATCTAGGACCTTGGGCAAGTCAGAGAGCCTCCACCTTCCTGTGTGAAATGAGATTAGAACATCTGCCTTCAGGGCCGGGGATTTAGCTCAGTGGTTCCGGTGCCTGCCTTGCAAGCGCAAGGTCCCAAGTTCGATCCCCGGTACCCCAAAAAAAAGATAACTTTGGGCCGGGGATTTAGCTCAGTGGTTTCGCCACCTGCTGCACAAGCACAAGG